AAGGAACGTGCCAAGCCAGGACATCTTGGGTGTCTTTCCTGTTAGTTGTGGCTACAAACTTCTCTCCAAGAAAACTAAATGCAATTACATCTGTAAAGATACTGATGCTCTTTACATCTTTGATGATATATTACCCTTGACTTGTGTCTGAATTCTGTCATAATATCCATTTGGGGCTCTTACCGTCTGAGGAGCTTGGCCAGAGATGATTTAGTTTGACCCTTAAGGAGAATACAGTTTCCTGGAGACCCTGACTTCCAGGTGAGGACATCTAGCCTCAGGTAGGATGAGGGCTTCTCACAGTGCACAGACAGTGCATGTAGGGAAGATCAGTCTGTCCACGTCTTTCAGTCTGGTTCTAAGTCCAGCCTTCTTCTATATTTTAATGTTTGGCGTCAACAGACAGGCAAGACTCTTTCCCAGAGCAGCTCAACTTCTGTTTGCACTACACAGACCAGCATTCCCTCTACCACTTCTTCCACACCCAGGATTTAACTCATTTCCAGCTAGACAGGCAAGACTCTTTCCCAGAGCAGCTCAACTTCTGTTTGCACTACACAGACCAGCATTCCTCTACCACTTCTTCCACACCCAGGATTTAACTCATTTCCAGTATGTGTCTGGTCACTGTGACTTAAGCAAACCTCTTTATGCTATCTTTCTTCACAGGTAGAAAAAGCACTGTAGCTCTAATTTATGCTGGTTTTGAACTCCTCAGATTAAAGTAGTCCACATAAAGGATTCCTACAAAAACACAAATTATACCTCACTAGCTCAAAAACTAAAGAGGCATTTGTCAACTTTTCTGTTAAAAAAGACTCAATGTTACTCTATAATTTATAGACACTGTACAAGAATCTCAATGTGATTTAAAAAAACCAAGGAATGAGAGCCAAATTCTAGGTAAGTGAAGTATAAAATAAGAAGTTATTTATAAGCACTTTCATCTCCTCTACAATTTATACAATGGTAAAACAACTGCACATAAGATCCACTTAAAAAGAATGGTTTCAACCAGAACATAGATGACTGAGTTGAACCCCAGTTAAAACTACCTCTCCTGCAGCTCTGGCCTTTATAATCTTGCTTGCAGATTTGGGCACAAGTGGAGCTAGGCTGCAGGTCTCTCTTCCCCTGACTGGATGAGTGACTGCTAACCTCTATGGTGTGACAGCCGCAGGCTGGTGCTACACCATATCTCACCCTTGTTAGTGTGTGAGTCTGTGCTCTGGAGACTTCCATAGCCCAGTGCAGTGCATAGCAGTGTCACACAGAGCGTTAAATAGATTTTAATTGCTAAATAATAGTATTGGGTACAGGTAAGTTTTAACACAAACACTACTGAACTGAAACAGCAGGTTTAGGTCCAATCACCAGAATTTCATGTATCTGTTTGTGCAATTCTACGATAACTTAATCTTTTGGTGGCTCTGCTTTCAAATCCTTGTATATCAATTTTCTAACCATATATCCAAGTTGACAGCACTTGCCAGCCAGGCATGTAGGAGGTTCTCAGTGCAATTCCCAGACCACAAAATGGGAAGAGCCCGCAGTGTTTATAACCCATAGCAATGCATCCCACCAGAACAGATTACTCCTGGGATGCAGGCTGTGCTGTTTAGACCTAGTGCCCCCAGGTCACGTGTGTCTGGAGGCGGGGCTTCCTGAAGGCTGAGATTGTGAGGGTGGTGCCCTCCCCAGGGGAGAACGTACAGAGGGAGGGGTCACAGCCAAAGGTGCCCGACTGAGCCTGGCTGGGGGTCCGAGCACGCCGCCCTGGAGGGGCGCTGTCTCCTTCCATCCCCTCCAGCACCTCAGGTTCTCTGCCTGCATCCTCCGCTTACAGCCCATAAACTACCATCTCACCTGGATTATTACAAAGCTTGGAACATGGCTCTCTAGTTCTCTATCCCCTTATTTTGGGTGTATTTTCAGCCCTGAAATCAAAGTAAATCCTGTGATAGTGAAGAGCCAGATCAAGTCAGAGTCTGTGGGAAATTCTCCTTTAATTCACATAGCACTCAGCCTAAAACACTGGCCAACTGCTCGCTGCCTGCAGTCGATCTGCCTCCCCCTCCCATACTGCTTTTCTCACTGTTCTCACCTCAAGGCCTTTGTACTCAGATTCCTTCTGCCAAAAATATTCCTGATATGCACAGGACCTGCCCCAGAATCTGGTAATCACCTGGGAAAGCATCTCCCTCCCAGTGAACTTTTTCCCTGACCACACTGGATGTCTTCACTGCACCAATACCTAACTCCCCTTCCTGGTTATTTTTCCACACACTACCTGTCACCCTGAATCCTGCTAAATAATTTGCCTATATATGATCTGGCTTTCCCCACCAGAATCGAACTGCATTATGCTAAGGATTTTTGTCTCTTTGCTGACACATCCACTGGTTGCGTGAGACATTCACAGACTATGGTTATTAACTACTGAAGGCTAGAGAGGACATGGTCAGTACATTATTCTGGGCGCCTCACATCCATGCACAGGTAACTGCAAGAACTGGAATGTGGTGAAAATACATCTGGGAAACCCTGTGAAACCACTCAAACACAACACATCCACCAAAATGAAACGATGGATGACATGTTATCAGCCAAAATAAATGCCGTAGAAAGTTCTCACTGTAAGTCTGACAGTGCTCCCCCACCCGACCTGCAGGGGCAGATGTTCAGCGCAGGCCTCTTCAGCCGCCGATTTAAGAATAAGAAGCGTGTGGCACTTGGATGGTGTCATGCAGTCTGCAGGCCTGAGGTTGTCTGTCATGGCTCACTCCGTCACCCACAGAGGGAAGGAGATAAAAAGTACTGGCTGTATCCAACTCTTCTCATCTCGGAAGAGACCGCTCCAAAGTGTGGCGTGACAGGAGCAGAACGACCTCCACCGTAAAGCCCGCTTTGATGTAGAACAGACAGATGGCAGAAAGGAGGGCTTCCTGGGCCTCTGGAGCTTTCCCACGGGCAGACCCTGCGTGCACAACTGGAAGGTGAGTGCTGAGCTGCTACGCGTGAAAATTCCCCCAGCAAAAGCAGCTGCTGCGTCGCTGTCTGCACGGACGATGAACGGCCCAGGCGGGGTGGGCACCCCCGCAGGCGGGCACTTGTGGGCGGGGCGGGCCGGACGGGGCTCCAGAATCCGCACTGCATGGTCAGCCACCACCGCTTGACATGTGGATGGCAGAAACATTTGAGAAAATGCCATGGGCACTCGTGGGCGGGGCGGGCCGGACGGGGCTCCAGAATCCGCACTGCATGGTCAGCCACCACCGCTTGACATGTGGATGGCAGAAACATTTGAGAAAATGCCAAAGAAGCAAGAAAGGCGTGGACTGATTGCATTTCACCTAACGAACGCTGTGCCGTTCTCCTGGAACGCGGTGATGGAGGAATGAGACGCTCCGGACGGTGCCCAGGATTCTTAGCCTTTGCAGGACTGACGACTGCAAGGCCGAAATGGTCATCGGCAGGACCTGCTACTAGGAAATGGTCAACTCACCACGCTTGGTTCGATATTTAAATTGGACTCTTGCAGGAAAGTCTGGTTACGAAGACCACATCGGAGAGTGAGCCTACTCCCCCATCCACAGAGCGGAGAGTTTTCAAATCCCACATGGTCCAGTAGACTCCTTTGCCCACCAGGGACCTTAAAGGGCCCGTGTGGTCTTCCTCCCCTCCCTTTGCTTCCAGCAATTTAAAATCTCGTGCTGAAGTTCAGTCAGTGTCAGCGAGGGTCCTCACGCTGCTCCCACTGGCAGGCGGCAGAGTGGATCCTCAGACGCTGCCCAGAGGACAGCCAAGTGGGGCGGGAGCCAGGCTGCAGATCCCGCCGGGCCAGGATCTCAGCAAGCCTGAACCAGTCCTCTGCTCCCTCAGAAAGCGGGTGGAGCCTGCAGCGCGGGACAGAGAAGGTCCGGTTTGGAGCATTGCTCGGAATGCAGCATCCTGAAGGTCACCTGCTGTGGCAGCTCCCGGGCAGCTTTGCTTATTTTCATGCATACCGATATACTTTTATGATATTTACATTGTTTCAGTAATTTAATAGTTCATTCTTTCACTTGCCTCAAGCTTTTGTTTTGAAATTTTCTGGGTCTGCTTTCACTGATTTGGTTCCTAATAATTTTTCTGGGTTTTCTAAGGTAAATTTTTTGTACAATTACATCCGCAGATCCTACATGTGAGATCTGGTGATCTGTACAAAAGCTACACGCTGGAGGGACCTAAACCCCCACCCCAACAGAAAGCATCGCTTGGTGTCTGGCGTGCCAGGAGCCCTCCTCCCGAGCCTCCAGCTTCGGCCCTCCTACGGGGCAACTCCTCTGACTTCTTTGTTCTTGACTGTTACTGTTTCCTTCTATCCTAAAACCCTTTAATAGGATAGGACGCAGCTAAAACAGCTTCGCAGCTCATTACCGTCGGGTCGGTAATGTACATTACTTCATGCTGCTGTACATGATGCTGACATTGGATGCCGCAATCTTTATTACATTTTTGCTATCCCAATCGATAGGAGCATTTCACTGTAATACGAATGTGTGTTTCACATACAGCTGATTATGGCCAGCACTTTTGTTTTTTTGGTACCGGGGATCAAACTCAGGACCTTACACTTGTGAGGCAGGCGGTGGAATCCCTGAGCTAAATCTCCAGCTCTATGGTCATTTTTCCTGTCTCACTGACCATTTTAATATATCATCCTTCGTGTCTGTCCACTTTTCCCTTTTTATATTTACTTGTTTGTATTATTGATTTGTCTCAGTCATATACAGCTAAAATTTTTTCTGGATTCAAACTTTTTATCAGTTACAAATATTGTGTAAATTGTACAGCTTGCTTTCAATAAGTAGAATTTTGTTTAAATTTTGCTGACAGCGATTTAAAAATATTTGTGGATGTTATTTTCTGTGTCAGTGTGCATTTCTAAATAAAATGGAGACAGTAATCAAAAGCAGCATTCAGAATCCCAGTGCACAGCGTGCACACTTTGCACTTACCCTTGTAGGCCAGCTTGAGCCGTGGGACATCCTGCTTCGAGGTCCCCACAGCAGGGAGGACCAGCACCGCCGAGCTCAGCAGCAGCAGGGTAGGGAGGGCAAGAGGACCCCGCCTCCCAGGCTTGTGCCCAGCGACCTCACCCATGTCCATGATGAAACTGGTCTCTTTCAAACCGTGTCAAGGGGCTCTAAAAATGAAAGAAACAACTATCAAGACTCATTTCTTACAGATCATTTTACTCAATATAATTTCCTGATTGTGTTTACTTTTTTTAAAAGAATTCCTTCTCTTGTTTTGATCTTAAGGCATTGTGGCAGGGAAAATGAATCAGAAACTGAACGGTCAAAATCAGGACTGTTTTTAATGGGCCGTAGAAAAGACCACCCCACTGGAACTTCAGGTTACGTTTTCAATGACCACCTCCCTCACTCGCCGGACTTTGCTACATTTCTTGTGTGCTTCAGCGCAGACACCGAGGACCCACCCTGCCGCGCAGCTCGGTGAGTCCTTGGGGGAATGGAAGCACTGCGCACGCCTGACGTCCTCCCCGGCGACACAGCTGTTGTGCTGCGGAGCACTACACACCTCACCAGACACGGGAGAAGTCCGCCCGGCAAGGGACGGGCCAGGTGGGTCAGGTCCCCCGCACACAGCACAGCCCTGCAGCAAGGCAGTCCCACCAGGCCCGCTTCCTCCACTCGTCCAGCCAGGGAGACGCACGCGGGGCAGAAACACGAAGCACAAAGAGGGAGGAGGTGAGCATTGACGAGATGCCTTGCATAAGCGGATCTGGTGGTTTCTAAGACATGAAGAAAATCAAAACACTTATTTCAAAACAAACCTAGTATTAAAACTTGTGACTAGTATTTGAATATATGTATCAATTCTCTTTGGGTATTCTGAGGCTGGGTCTTGCTGGGTAGCACACGCTGGACTTGACCTGAACTCTGCAGCCTAGGCTGGCCTCAGACTTGTGGCAATCCTTCTGCCTCAGCGTCCCGCCTGCCACCACACCTGGCTTTGCAGTGCCTTATGGGGAAGGTTAATTGTCCCATCAACTGGAATAACAAGGGCCGACTGGCTCAGGGAACACTGCCGTGGGTCTGGGTGACGGACACTGGGGTCACACGCTGAAGACAGAAGACCCACACACTGGGTGCGGGAGGCACTGTCTGACAGGCTCACAGCTAGGACGAAACACCAGGCGGAAGAAGGCCGTCTCTCCCTGCCGCACTCCAGGCCGCACCGCTGTCTGTCGGCATCCGGCAGGACGTTCAGATTAGGGTGCAGATGGCAGGCCCTGCCTGTAAGTCAGCACTCAGGCACGGTTGCACGCACACGGCGCGGCCACCTGCACACACGCGACCGTTTCCCTCACTTCACAGAGGAGGGAACGAGCCCCGCCGGGCTTCCCTCGCAGGAGTGTGCAGCCTCTCCGCCTTCTCCGCAAGCATCTTCTGCTCATAGGAAGCAGCCCTTGGAGAGGTGCGGGGTGTGGCGGCTCCCCGGGAGCTTGGTGTGGGATGGGACTGAGCGTTTCTCTGAGCCAGTGTTGCCTTTCCGCGGGGACAGACAAGTTCAGCCACGCTGTGACCCAGACTGCGAGGGACTAGGGAACCGTTTAACATCCAAAGCATCTCCATGTCTGAATGCTAAGCAACCCTAGGAAGGAGGAATCCCTAGGAGGCAGCCTCTCTTCTCTTGACTAAAATGCCCTACAAGCTTTGCATGTCGAGGTTCCGTTACTTACCTTGAATATCAGAAGTTAAAATCAATTTGGGACAGTAACATAGGATCAAAGCTTGAGGTATATTAATTTATATGTATGAATGAGAATCATTTAAAGGTTGACTTGAATTTTATGTTGTTTCTTCATGAAATGTTGAACATGAATTACTTTAGTTTTCTTCAAAGATATAGAAATTATCAAATTATTCTTTGTGCATAATGTGTGACTATTTAGTTTTTTGTAGTCTACTGAACATGATCAAGTCAGTTTAGAGGTTACTTTAAGGATATCCGATTAAATATGCCATGTAATGCACATTTATTCACATAAGATATTTCTTGAAGGTTTCACCAAATAGGTATAATTTCTGAGACAAGAAAGTCCTTTGTCTAAAAATATTCATATATAGCTGGGGATTTAGCTCAGTGGTGCCACACCTGCCTCACGAATGCAAGGTCCCAAGTTCAGTCCCAGGCACCAGGAAAAAAAAAAATCACATAATCATCTGCCCTTCATAAAAATTGTACTTTTTCAAATGTTATTCATATTTTCATACATATTAAAAAGTCCTTTTATAAGTAAACACGTTTGAAATAAACTTTTAAGTAATGATTGTATTATTTTGAAAGTCACAGGAAAACGTGTTTGAACTGCCATCACCGGACACTTTTCCCGATGTGCAGACAGCATGTTATCAGATCAGACCTCTGCTTTGCATAAGCCTCGCAGGAAAAGGGTCCTGTCGTCTTTCAAAAGCAACCGTGAGTACCTGTTTGCAGCCCAACTCCCTGTGAGGGGTCGGCACACCTGCAGGACACAGCCCTGCTCCTTTCCCTCCAGTTCCTCTCTCCTCTTCCGTCAATCCCCTCCTCTCCAAGAAGAAAGATCTATCCCCCGTGGCCAAGTGCTTTTCTTGGTGCCTCTAGACCATTAAAAACTCATGCAGTTTCTGACTAACAGGTTTTCCTTGAAAAGTTTGCTGCTCTTAGGCAACTATCATCACAGAATTACTTACCTATATAACTGGTGATATTTGAACATATATTCATATTTAATGTGTGTTCCATACACACTCTCATTAGCTATTAACTCTGTAGGTAATCTGCAACTGTTTATGAAGGCAAAGAAAGCAATAAGATTCATTTCTGAAGGAGTGCATGGTTATATACACATGATCAAATTACAGAAAATAATGCCTCAACTGGGGTACTTATGAGGTGATGTAAAACCGCTTAAAAGACTACCATGTAGGCTCAGTTTCTTGCAAGACAGAGAAAAGAGAACAGAGCAGGAGAAGAGAGAGTCCTGCAGCAGCGGCACCTGGCTGAGATCCCCAGGGTTCAGGGAAAGGAGCTAGGTGACAGGGCTGAGCAGCAGTGAAAGAAGGATAATTTTGGGTAAAGGGGTGCAAGGAGAAATCAGGCTGACTCTGGGGTCTGCCCCGGTCTGTTCTGGTGACTCGAGTCAAGGCGTCACTGTTTTCTTGCTCACGGAAACCGTCCCGCAGTGGGTCCTTCTTTCATATCCCTGACCTTCCTCGTCTCCCTGTAAGAAGGTGTTAGCCAAACATTGGAATTGGACTCCCACACACAGGCAGCCTCAAATAACAAACACACATTCTGCCTCCTACTCATAGCCTCTGTAAACAGGACAAGGTACAGTGGCCCCTTGACTTATGAACTCAATCCATTCCAGAGGGTTGGTTGTAACTCACGTTGGTCAATGAAGGCTCACGCTCCTCTACACAGCCTTCAAAGTCTCTGTCCTGTACAAAGCAGATCCCAGTGTCCTCAGAGAGAAAATGGCCCAGGGTTTCTAAGGGAACCCCACACAGGAAAGGATGCTGTCATGTTCCTTCCAGACTGTTTAAGGGTTAAGTCTGTATCTGAGACCATCTGGAATAACAAGCAGCCGGCATTCAGATTGTAACTCAAATCTCTGGTCATAAGTTAAAACTAAAGGTCCAGTCGAACCCATGCTGTGTGTATGTCAGTCTAGTCATAACCCGAGGGTCCAGTCTAAATAGAATGGTGAGACTGAGCTCATTACATTTCTTTTAGGCTTAGTTTTATTTTTCCATCACATACAGCACAAAGCACTAAAGTGAATGCATGTTTGTATACAGGCGAGAGAGCAGGTATTGTCCATGTGTGCATTTTACTGACAATAGTGACCTCAGCACAGGGCATTTCCTGGAAATTAATGACAAGCTGGAGTTAATGGCCCTTGGCTATGTATAGAGATGTCTATTCCTCCAACGGTCATTAATCGCCGAGACAGGCCCTGTGCTGCCGACATCATAACTTAGAAGACTGCAGCGGTTTTCGGTGAACAGTAGTCACACTGTTCCTTGTAACCCAACTCATTAATATTGTTCAATGAGCCAAAAACCAAAGCACTGCCCTCTCTTCTACTGTGGCGTTCAGATAAGTGGCCACACGTGCTGAATCATACTGAGCGGGAGGGAAAAATAAGGCAGCAATCCTGGTGCTGCTACAATGTTTTTAAAACTTTGACTATTTGTCTGCTTTTCCAGTTTGCTCCTCCTTCCTTCTTTTCCTTCCTAACATTTCTTTGAATTCCACAATCTTTTAATTGGGATAATCTGTAAGGTAAATGTTTTGCCATCAACCTCTCCACTAATATATTGATAACTTGTTATCTTCTGTGAGTGTGTGTTGTGTGCGCACATACATGTGAGTGAGTCCTGCATCTGGGAGGAATTAGGACGAGAAGTAGGTGTGATTTACCCAAAGTGGGTGGATTTAGTGACTTGCATAGGTTAATGCTGAATGCTACTGTCTGTAACAAGCTCGACCTGGAGCCAATTAACTGCATATAATCTATTCCAGATGTTCACTTTGACAAACAGCACTCTTGGGGATCTTCGGATGCGGAGCCAATAGGGAGTACTCTGGCTACAAGAGAGTTTTACACACTGCTCCACTAAATGAGAGACCCAAATGCACACCCCAACACTCAGGCAGCCTTATGCCTCCTCCCCAAGGAATGAGAGAGTCCAGGACTTATGAGCAAATGAGAACTCGTCAAAAAATCTGAGAAGCAAGTAATACAAAACTTTATAGGTGAACTTAATCGATGCCTTATTGATTTATATCTATTTTTTCCAGAAATTATTAAAGTAAGATAAGATACAATTAGTGAGGAAAAAATAGCTTCTATGTATGGGAAAATAATTCATACATCCAATAAATCTTCACACATAAAAACCTGGAACACTGGGATTTAGGAAGCATTCTCAGGAATGTGTGTGTGTGTGTGTGTGTGTGTGTGTGTGTGTGTGTGTGTGTGTGTGGCTTAAGGAAGGGAGGACAAGAAACAATTTCTAACATTTTATAAGGACTTTTTTGCTCTTCATATCTTACTTCGGTACATGAAGTCATTTGAGATACGTTTCCCCAACTCAGGAGACGCAAGGAACTAACGCTACTCCAAAGCTCCAAGCAGTATCTGCATCTCACCCAGGCACACTGCAGCTCAGAACTGGGAGCAGTTGTGACGTGTGAGTACACAAGATGGATTGATTATTGAAATGTTACTTCATGGCCTGGTGTAGACAACGAAACAAACAGGTATTATAGAGAAACTTGAGAGCCAAAGATGTGACGTCAGACACACAAATGAGGAGCCTTGTGATTGCACAGAGCTGGCGTGCGTGTCACAGAGGAGCACAGTGATCTCAGAATGGGACAAACAGCAGGAAAGACGGTGCAGAGAGCAGGCATGCAACGTGAGAGCTTGCATTGAAATTACTTTCTCTCACCCTTCCTAACATTTTCTAACACACAAATGTCTCACTAATCCAGTACATCTTACCAACTTAGTGCTCACATATGTGTCACTTTCTGTAATGAGTAGAATTTACAGGGCAACAGCGTTTTGCTGAAGGAGTGACTGTCGTGTGTTGGACTTCTTTCAAATGTCCTGAATTCCCCACCAGCTCACATGTTCCAGCAGAGTCTGGTGATCATCTTATTTTCCAGAGAGTAAGAAGAAGGAGACTTACATTTGGTTATGTCAATCTGCTTGCTAACATCCATAAGATAA